CGCTCTTCCAACCAGTCACGCACTCGCCCACTCATCCGTTATCTATGAAACACTTAATATATGTTAGGTACCATGCTAGGTTCTGGGCTTACATGATGGATTGTAATATTAACAAGACAGGACTTTAGCCTGCTGAGTGTCCCACCTTGGAACACACTTTATTGTTCAGATCAGAGCAGTGGGTACAGAGGGAAGGGGGCCATAGCTGGCCATAGTGTTCTCAGTCTTGGTTTTATTTCCTGCTACAGAAATAGAGCACAGTTCCCTTCTTCCTGGTGGTTAGACTTTTGGAAATGTCCTTTCTCTCCTGATTTCCTTTTCATCTTCTGTAAGAAACTGAAGAGCCTGGTGTGACGAGAGTTGGGGAGGCTCGGAGCTGTTGTGACCAGACTGGCATCCAGTACTCTTGCAAAGTTCTCTGAATTCATCTTTGTTTATTTCTTTCATGAGCAAGAGAGACAGAAAGACAGGCAACCCCAACAGAGTGATCATGTTGCAGTTCACCCTCAACCAGCCCCACATCATTGGCACATGGTCCCCACATGTTCAGGGAGGTCTCTGGACGCAAACCCTGAACCTTTCCGTGAGCGTCAGCCTTGCCGAGCTTTGTGCTAGTGCTTTGTCACCATCCAGCCTCTCTAAATCACCTTACTGTTGGTTCACATCACTCATCCTTTAATACTCACGACAAAAGCATTATAAATCCTAATGAAGGGGGTGATTTCTCACTTTTGCTCTCTTTCTGTCTCGCTGGCGAGCACATGCACTTTATAGCAAAAATCTCTCTCAAAAAAAAGTTCATGAAAAACGTGTTTTATGAAAAATCTATGCACTTGAAAATGATGGGTTCCAAATCTCTGTTTTTTTTTTCACCAAAATAAACTCATACTTTAATTCCATTTTTCTATAAACTTTCTGAAACATCCACATACAGTGATTTTGGAAAATGTTACCATTGGGGGAAACTGGGTGAAGCATGTAAGGGATCTTTCTGTATTGTTTCTTTTTGCTGCATGTGAATCTATGGCTATCTCAATAAAACTCTTTTCTAAAAAAACCATGTTGTTTATTGTTAATAGTAGCAGTAGTTTGTTTGTTTGTTTGTTTATTTGTTTTGAGAGGTTTTTCTATAGGGTGCATGCGCTCACCAGAAAGACGGAGAGAGACAGACAGACAGAAAGCGAGAAATCACCTCCCAGGGGAGATGACTGCCTTATTCCCTTCTTCTCTTGGGATTTGGGGCATGCACGCACATATTCCTGGTGTGAGTTTCAAGTTGCTGGGTCTGGGACTCGAACTGCAGTCGACCATGTGGGAGTCCAATCCCTTAACCACTACACCACCTGTTGAACTCCCACCATAATTAAAAAAATAATAATTATTTAATTTTTATTATTATTGGGTTGTTGGAAAAGTCATGATGTATTTTCTTCTATGCAAAGATGCATCACTTTTCAGATGCCCCAGTATTATTATTATTTTTAATTTGCTATAGTACATGTGCACTCACCAGAGACGGACAGAGGGAGAGAAGGAAAGAAGGGAGAGCGAGAAGGAAGCAAAGTGAGAAAGCAGGCCTCCAGGTCTGGAACTCAAACTAAGTTCAGCTACGTGGGAGTCCAGCACCCTTACTGCCACACCACCTGCAAGCCCCCTACATCATGATTTTTAATGGTGTTTTGGAGATAGGGTTCCAGTGGCATTTTTATAGACAGAGTATGAAAACCAGTATTTGGGAGAGGAGCTAACTTGTGTAACAGTTTTGTATAGGCGGTTCTTCTTGCATTATCCAGGTCTGGTCCTCCGCACCTCCTGTCCACTGTGAGTGTAGAGAGTAGTTTTACCTGAACTCACTGGGGAGATTAAGCGGCAATATGAAGGTTAGCCAAGAACATGAGGTTAAGGGAAAAGCATTTTCTGTGCTGGCTTAGAACAGTGTTAAATGTTGCCTACCTGGACTGTTGGGGGAATGAGAAAAAAGTGAAAAGAAAAACAGTGGCGCATGAGAGCATGGGTCACATTTGCCCCCAAGGTAGCTTTTAGGACCACCATTCAATTCATCATCATAGACTCTCTCAAGTTGATGGAGTTTACACAGCACTATTAGGTATTTCCTGAAGGTTCTTTCAGCTTTTTCCAAGTTAAAGCAGCTACAGTCTGTGGTACGTTCTCAAATGAATCCCATTAAACAGGCTTTCTCCAAATGGATCAAATAGCACTTAATAAAACTATGGATAGCCAGGCCTCATGGAAAAAAACTCTAATGGTAAATGCTGTTGGTCATGTTGAAGAGTTTTTCATTGGTTAAAACTTCCCCTTAAAATAGTTTTTGGCAACCTTGTTTATTATAATTGGACTCTACCCAAAGGTGAGTGTTTTGGGGAAAGTTTGAAGCAAATTTATGTGACTGTTTTCTGTGGATAGTAGGATGGAAAAATAGTAAAAATGAACTTCAGATGTCTCTGGTTTTCTTGGAATTTAAATGGCTGACCTAGGCTCACACTGGAAATGTCCTTTGTTGGGCTGGAATATAGGCTAGGAAAAGAACAGTATTTAGGTAATATTTTGGCAGAGTTAGCAACTAAGGATGGGATTTACCGTTCAGACTCCACATCTGTCTTTCCTTGACAGTTTTTTTGTTTATTTTTACAAGACGACCTACATTCAGGCAGTTCTCACTGTCAACTTGCTGTATTCCTGGGGACCACATTTAAAAATACACACCCATGGGACATCATCTTTCTTCACAGGAATAACAAGAGAATAAACAGTATTTATAGAGTTCTGACTATGTGTGTAGATGCTGTTCTAAGCATTTTATATGAGTTAATGTATTGGATCCTCACAATAACCTCACGAAGAAGAGGTTGTTGTCTCAGTTTTATATATGAAGAAATTGATGCACAGAGTGGTTAAGTAACTTGCCAAAGGCCACTCAGCTACTTAGTGGCGAAAACAGTATGCATATTTAGGCAGCAGGGTTTCAAAGCTTGTTATTAAACTCCCACAATATGTTGCATCTCACTGTTAGAACAATATTGCAGTATTTAAATAAGGATTTACCAGCCTGATATGACTAAGAATATATCATCAAATCCACCTATTTAGTTACTGGATATAATAACTATAAATTCACATGGTAATTAAATAGAAAATTGTTCTCTGATTTTTCTTCCTTCCTTCCTTTCTTTTGTTTAAGAGAGATTTTTGCCATAGGGCAGGGGTGCTCAGAGGTGCAGAGAGACAGAAAGTGAGAAATGATCTCCAGAGGGGATGGCCGTGGCTCAATCCCTTACCCTTCATTCTCCTCTCAGGATTTTGGGCACGTCACATGTGTCCTGAGTGAGTTTTAAGGGACCGGGTCCAGGACTCAAAGCACAATCGACTGTGTGGGAGTCCAGCAATGTAACCATTTGCCATTAGCTGGTTCCATGTTGTCTTATTTTTCTAAAATGAGGATAAATGTATCAATCAGGTACACTATGCAAAGACCTCAATACCCCATAAAGCAGGTAAGATACCATTTTTCTGTGTCATAAATTTATAAACGGTATGGCTAAGAAAATAACAAGTGTAATTAGATACTTAATTCTAAGTCTCTGGCATAGAACTTAGGAAGCCTTTTGTGGTTGTGAGAGCTCATGTGTCCCAGTGTGCTCAGTAAGAGCCCCAGGAATGTGTTCTGACACCTCTCGCTCTTACTTCTGAAGGGCTGTGAGTGCAGAAGTTTTCTAAACTTTTTCTGGCTTCCATAGTATTTGTCAGCAAGTCAGTTTAATATCTTGGCATGGGCCCTCCTGATCTGAGGTGGGAAGTGGGAGGCTTTGATTGAAGGCAGGTAAGTTGTTCCTTGCTTCTGGGTGGACCCAATGGAATTCTGGGGGTTAATGTGGCTCTTGTTTGTACCAAATTTGCAGGGCTGGAGGATAGGGTTTAGTTATCGGGCTGTAAACACCATCCTTTTCCGTGTAGAACCTTAACCAGCAATGCCTAGAAACTCATCTCTCTCTTCTCTTCTCTCCCCTCCTCTCTCCCTGGGTGTCTCTTGCTGGACCCTGCCCGTCTGCAGCTCAGACCCTGGATCCTCATGGCCTATGGAATGTGGGCCTGCTGGTGTGTGCTGGGGGCCCCAGGTGTGGCCTTGGTTTTTCTCCACACCGTCATCTCCTTCTGTGTGGCCCAGTTCCGGTCACTGCTCCTGTCATGGCTCTGCTCTCTCCTCCTGCTCTCCACACTGAGGCTGCAAGGTGTGGAGGAAGTTAAGGTAAGTGTCTGCCGCCTGGTTGGGAAGGAGCCGCCTCTGGCTTTGCCCTATCTCGCTAGATGCCTCTGTTTTCAGATAAGAGCCCATCGTAGGGGAACCAGCAGTTAGTGTAATGGCTATGTCGCTGGATTCCCACGTAGTCGACCGCAGTTCGTGTCCCGGACCCGGTGGCTTAAAACTCACGCCGGGCGCGTGTGCGTGCGTGCCCAAGATCCCGAGAGGAGAATGGAGGAGAAGGGATTGCGGCGTGACCATCCCCCCTGGGGGGTGATTTCTCGCTTTCTGTCTCTATGTCTCTCTCTGTCTGTCTGGCGAACGCACGCGCCCTACAGTGAAAATCTCTCTCAAAAAAAAAAAAAAACAAAAAAACAAGAGCCCATCGTAGCACCTCGCTGGGGCTCCCCCTAGTGGGCACATGTGGTTGAGACACGCGAACCCTGCCCTTGGCATCCTGCAATCTTTTCTCTCTCCCTGTCCTGTGAGGGCTGACCCAGGTTTGAATAGTCATGGAGGGTGCCAGATGTCCCAGGACCGAAGGCTCAGGAATAAAGGGAAAAGAAACAAATCATCCTCTAGGCATTTAATAAAAATCATCTGTGGTGTGCTTTACACTGGCTAGGAAGTGGTATAAAGCAGGTGTTTTCTTTTTTTTTTTTTTTTGGAGAGATTTTTCACTG